AAAAAAAAAAAAAAAAAAAAAAAGGCTACCTCTGGCCTGAGTTTGTCCTGCTTTATCACATTGTCACATGGTACAGTATTGTCACAGTTTTCTTGCCAATCTCACATTTTAAACTTCTTGAAGGCAGTCTATGTTTCACTTATCCTTGTTTATTTCACTCTGCAGTTATCTCAGGGCCTGACATAGAACACACCTCAAAACAATTTTGTTAATGAATGAACAACCCCTGCTCTTCCAAAACCTGATCTTGAGTACAGAGCTTAATTACTTGCTCAGTATGGAATGAGACTCACTTGTCTGTAGGAACACCCCCCCCCCCACCAACGACACACCCAAAATCTGCCCTTTGAATGAAGATCACATAGCATTCTCCTGATCCCACACTTCAGGGATCATCCATAGTAACTTTTTAGGGTTAATCCTGAATGGAATGACAAAATACAGAAAATTGGTTTTCACAGGTTCCTTGCTCCATCCTGCGTCCTTAACATGCCATTCACTCTGTCCACCTCCCAGGACTACCTTGTCCATCCCATCAAGTCCCCCAGGAGCACCTAGTGTTTCTGATCCCTGCTGTTGTAGTACTTACCCATTGATGCATAACAAATCTCAAAACGTAGTGACTTAAAACATGAATCACTTCTCATGATTTCTGTGGGTTAAGAATCTTGGAGTTGAGGCACCTGGGTGGTTCTGTAGGTAAAGCTACAGGTCTTGATTTCGGCTCAGGTCACGATTTCACAGATCATGGGATCGAGCCCCACATCAGGCTTTTGTGCTGGGCATGGAGCCTGCTTGACAGTCTCTTTCTCTCCCTCAAAAAATAAATGTTAAAAAAAAAGAATCCAGGGTGCCTGGGTGGCTCAGTTGGTTAAGCGTCCGACTTTGGCTCAGGTCATGGTCTCACTGTCTGTGAGTTCGAGCCCCGTGTCAGACTCTGTGCTGACAGCTCAGACTGGAGCCTGCTTTGGATTCTGTGTCTCCCTCTCTCTCTCTCTGCACCACCCCACCCTTGAGCTCCGTCTCTCTCTGTCTCTCAAAATAAATAAACATAAAAAAAAATAGATCAAAATCTAGGGTGACTCGGTGGCTCAGTTGGTTAAGTGTGGGACTCTTGATTTTGGCTCAGGTCATGATCTCACAGTTTGTGAGTTCCAGCCCCACATTGGGCTCTCTGCTGTCAGCACACAGCCTGCTTCAGAATCCTCTATCTACCTCTCTCTCATGACCACTCGCTCTCTCTCTCTCTCTTTCAAAATAAATAAATAAACTTAAAATCATCAATGATCTAAGTTCCTACTTTAGAAAGTTAGAAAAAAAACAAGTAAATTAAACCCAGTGTAAGTAGAATAGAGAAGAAATCAATGAAATAGAAAACAAACAATAGAGAAAATTAACAAAGCCAGAAGTTTGTTCTTTGAAAACACTAATAAAATTCATAAATCATGAGCAAGACTGATAAAGGAAAAAAAGAGGAAAAAGCAAATTACCAATATTATTAATGAAAAACGGGGGCACAATAGATCTTTAGACAGCAAAAGAGTAATAAGGGAATATAATGAAAAACTTTAAGCCAACAATGTCAACAAGTAGGTGAAATAGACAAATTCCTAGAAAAACAATTTACCAAAAATAACAAAATAAAAAATTTGAACATCCTTATCTATGTAACAAATTGAATTTGTTGAAAGCCCTCTCACACTTTAGCTAATAAAAATGTATTGACATTGGTGACAAAGATTGACATTGGTGACAAACATTACCACATTAATGTAAGATGTCAGCAATAGGATCTGGGTGGGGTTAGGA